GGGGGTGAGGGTGTGGGGGAAGGGCGGTCCTGGGTGGTGAGACCTACTTTATAAATCTAAAACCTAGATCTGTGTTAGCTTTTGACTTGAATGAGTTGGTTTCTTCCTAGGCAACAGTTTCTTGATTGATGTTTTTGCATGTAGCGATCTTTATCATTTTGAAGATTTTTGCCCTTTAGATCCAGAGTTCTAAAGGTTCTAAAGGTTCTTAAGCTTTATTTTTTTTTTTAAGTGGTTGACTTTTTTTCCTCTCCTGACTGACATGAGTGTGGATCCCACTGATCTCCAAACTTTGCCTTCTTTTGAGAAAGCATCCAATTCTGGGGACTCCTCACCAACTCTTCCGTCTTATGGTCCTGAGGAAAATGACTCTCCTTTACAAACACCTACTGCTGAGATGCTCAACAAGGAGACTGGTAAGAAAAAGTTTTGTCCTGAAGGGCCATATGAGTTAGGGGAAGAGAAGGGAGAAATATGGGGGTCAAGGGCTCATCTCCTCTTGAGGAATTAAGAGTCCATTAACACAAGCAGGTCTCTTCAGCCCTCTGGACCCCCTTTTTGAATTTTGCCTGGTGATATACATTGCCCTCCAGGTCTCCAGGGCTGTGGGCAGAGACTAAGAATACTGCTGTGTGTATTTGAGAACCTAAATGTTTCAGGCTCTGAAAACAAATGTGTTAAGGAACTAAATGAGTGATGTGCCCATCCTAACAGGGTGCTGGGCTTCCGGTTGTATGCTGTTCTCAGCACCTGGGAGACCTAAGTCCAGGTTGGGGTGAGTATCCCATCTTTGGTGAGATTATACAGTTAGCCGATGTTTTCAAATGCCTACTTTCTGCTGTAGGAGAGGTGATTTTTTTCTCTCAACCTTCGGGTACATTGGGTGTTAATTAGCAGTTGTGAGTTTATGAGCACCTCCCCTAAATTCCCTCTTAACTAAAATCTAAATTTGTCTAAAAGAAAGTGGCCAGGACCAAGATTTAAAATCCATTTTATGGGGGCTAGAGAGATGGCTCAGCGGTTAAGAGCACTAACTGCTCTTGCAGAGGACCTGGGTTCGAGTCCCAGCACCCACATGGCGGCTACGAACCGGCCAGTTCCAGGGGAATCTGATGCCCTCTTCTGACCTCTGCAGCATTGCACAACACGGGTGCACTTACATACATGCAGGCAATACACTCATACACATAAAATAAAAATAAAGAAATTTTTAAAATCCATTTTGTCATGGGTACAGGCTATGTGTGTCTGGTACTAAGGATTGTAAATGCTGGACATTTAAATGGGCTTAAAACTACTCATTTGTGGAAAACCAAAAGTAAACAAAATGACTGTGTCTGTGTGTGAGACAAGGGCTCTACCAGAGCTACATGTCATTCCGAAGACTGCTATGCTTTACATTATATTGTAGTGTCATCCTGTTTTCTAAGCTTTGGGTTAGTTCCTTTGTCATTAACTTCAGATGTTGAAAATACAGTGCTGGGTTAATGGGTGGGCATGCCCCTCTTCTAGTGCTTAGTTGAAGGCTAGCTTTCCATTTTAGAAGATGCTTTAAGGCCAATCCATTGATTGCAAGACAGCCGGGTACAGGTAGCATTGAACATAAAGAACACATCCAAGTAGCCGAGCATGGTTGGCGCAAGCCTTCAATCCCAGCACTTAAGAGGCAGACGCAGGTTGATCCCTAAGTTCAAGACCAGCCTGCTCTACATAACGAGTTCCAGGCCAGCTAGGGCTACATAGTGAATCCTTTATGTTCATTTATTTTGAGACAGGGTCTGTTGCCTAGGCTGGCTGCAAACGCTCCCTCCCTTTCCCTTCTCTGCCTCTGGGGCAGCTAGACTTACAAGTTTGTACCGCCTGGCTCTCACTGCTAGATGGCTTTAGTGGGCTTATGTCACACTGAAGGGTCAGGTCACAACCGGAGTCAAAGGAGAGCAGAGACCCAAAGCTGACCAAAGTTCACACTTCCTGCTCGTCAGTCTAGCGCTTTGTACAATCTCTAGAGTCTAATTTTACCATTTAAATATGGTACTTAAAGCATATGTAAAATGGAGATATGAGTAAAATTTTATCTAGCTGTTATTTATGCTGAGGGTGGCAGTGTTTGGGGTGGTTATAGTTATTTACCTAGATCTAGGGCTGTGAAGATAACAGTGCTTTGAAAATAAATAAAATAGCCAACAATAATCCCAGTGATCGATCAGTAAGCGGTGGCAGCCACAGATGCTCAAGGCCTGCAGGTCACCTACCTCCGGCTCCTGGTTAAAGTCATATCTATGCTGCTAGAGTAACTGAGGCCACTGTGCAACTACCCAACAGGCCCAAGAAGAGGTTATTTTTTCTGGGTTCCAGTTATGAAATGGGGGCTGGTCTGTGTTGAATTACTTGACATGGCCAGATCTTCAGAGAAACTCAGCACAGCTCAATCCACTGTGTTGATGGCTAACAGGGTTTAATTGGTCGAGATACTTGCTTGTGATTATACTGAAAAATTGAAGTTTGTTTGCTGTTAATATCTTTGTGGGGACAGCAGGAGTCTCTCTGGTCTTCTGCATTTGGAGACAATCAAAAACTAAAAGCTAAAGGAATCAAGTAAAAGAGCTCCCTATCACCTAACAATCTAGATGTGGACATAAACACTGGGACCTAATTTTTGTGATTAAAAGGGATTTGTTCCCAACAGCCTCTCCTCCTTCCTCCGTGGACAGTCCTGATTCTTCTACTAGTCCCACACCAAAGCTAGCAGGTTCCAGTTCTGAGGAGAGCCCTGGGAAGAAGGAAGAGAGTAAGGTCCAGATCAAGAAACAGAAGATGCCAATGGTGTTCTCTCAGGCTCAGCTGTGCACGCTCAATGAAAGGTTTCAGAAACAGAAGTACCTCAGCCTCCAGCAGATGCAAGAACTTTCTAGCATTCTAAATCTCACTTACAAACAGGTAGGGTTGTTTTTTGCTACAATAATAAACAAAATGAGGCTGATTTGCCCATGAATCGGGCTAACATCTGGATGTACCTCTGTGTATTCCAAGGTCAATTCTTCATTAATATCATATAATTATGTATAGTTCATATGAGTCATATACTGGCCACTTTCTTCCATCAGTATATTCTTTCTTTTCTGGTCTTTTTGAGACAGGGTCTCTGTAGCCCCAGCTGTCCTGCAACTCACTATGTAGACCAGACTGGCCTTGAACTCACAGAGATCCGTCTGCCTCTGCCTCCCAAGTGCTGGGATTAAAGGTGTGTGCTACCATGCCCAGCAGTATATTCTGTTTTTTGAGGAGTGTAATGTAGCAGAGGCTGGCCTTGAACTCCCTGTGTAGTTGACCTCACAAGTGCTGGGACCACACATCTGCATCCACACCCAGCTAATCTTTTTTATAGGACTGGGGATTGATGGTGTTGAATTAGTGTATTTCTGTGGGGGTGGTGCATGCCTTTAATCCCACCACTCAGGAGGCAGAGGCAGGTGAATCTCTGTTAGTCAGAGGCCAGCCTGGTCTGCATAGCGAGTTCCAGGAAAGTTGGGGCTACTGGGAGACTCTGTTTCAAAAAGAAAGACCAAAAAAAAAAAAAAAGCCCACCAAATAAATACTCAGTTTCTTTTATATTTTATACTAGAGCAAACCAGGAAATCAAGACACAATTGCCATGGTCAAATCTTATCTTCAGAGAATATCTTCCACAAGGCTGGCCCTAAGGCAACTCAGATTTATCAGTTTGAGGTGTTCGTATGTGACTGGTGCAGGCACTGCAGTCAATTCAGTTTTTGTCTGAGGTCGTTTGGGTCTTTCCAGTGAAATCTGTGTCCTACTTGGCAGTAGATAAACATACTCTTCAGTTACGTGCTTCAGTCCCTCTAAAATGACTGGACACCAGTTCTTAACTACCCTATCCTTAGAGCTGTAAACTAGGGGAAAATCATCTTGCCCTGGTTCTCATTCACAGCTTGATGGAATGAATGCCTCAACCGTAGAAGCTCACTTCCTGGAAGGTGGAGGCCATGGCGAGTATGTAGAGATGAGTCCTAGAGAAGTGCTAGAGGAGTGTTAGGGTCACACTAGGGCCTGTACACAGCATGGACCTTTTGTTTTTATTTTATATACTTAAGGGTTTTGCCTGCATCTACGTATGTGTGCCATGTGCGTGCAGTGCCTATGGAAATCAGGAAGAGGGCATCAGAACACCTGGAACTGGCAGACAGTTGTGAGCTGCCATGTGGGTACTGGGAATGAAACCTGGCTGGGTCTGCTGGAGGAGCAGGCCGTGTAATGCTGAGCCAGCTCTCCAGCCCCATCACTATGCATTTAAGTGTAGCGGGTCTTACATGCCAATGGCTAGGTTTATTGAACAAAAAACAGCCAACTGATTTTTTTTAAAGGCTTCAAAATTCATTTGTAGAACATTTCTTGAAGATTAAAGAAATGATGCTGCTGGGCGTGGTGGCACACGCCTTTAATCCCAGCACTATAGGGAGACAGAGGTAGGTGGATCTCTGTGAGTTCAAGGCCAGCCTGGTCCACATAGTGAGTTCCAGGACAGCTGGAGCTACAGGGAGACCCTGTCTCAAAAAGATCAAAAAAAAAGAAAAAGAAATGATGCTTAAGAGGTGAGGATTGGTTTCTGAGCTTCTCTGTTTGATGCTCTGTATCTCTGGCTGACCAGGAGCTCAATAACAACTAGCTCAAGCTAGCTTTTAGATTCAGAGATCTGCCTGCCCCTACCTCCTGATCACAGGTGTGCACTCAGCTCCTGCACCTGATATGTACTGAGCTGGATCCTTGAAGAAAAGTTAACAGTATTCTGTGACTCTGAGCACTTCTGTATCACTTAAAATTCATGTCACTCCTGCAGGTTAAGACCTGGTTCCAAAACCAAAGAATGAAATGTAAAAGATGGCAGAAAAGCAACTGGCCAAAGACCTTCAACAGTGTGAGTTGGGTAACAGGACACTTTATCTGCTCTTTTTCTTTTTAATTTCTTTCTTTTTTTGTCTTTTTGAGACATCTCCCTGTAGCCCCAGCTGGTCTAGAACTCACTGTGTAGACCAGGCTGGTCTTGAACTCACAGAGATCCACCTACCTCTGTCTCCCTAGTGCTGGGATCAAAGGCGTGCACCACCATGCTCAACTCTTCTTAAATTTCTTTTAATTTTATATGTGAGTCTTTTGCCCACATGTATGTAGATGCACCATATGTGTGCAATGCCCACAGAGGCCAGAAGAGGTCACCAGATTTCCTAGAACTGGAGTTATGGATGGTTGGACAGATGGTAGCTGCCATGTGGGTGTTGGGAACAGAACCCAGATCCTCTGCAAGAGTGTCCCGTGCTCTTAACTGCTGAGCCCTCTCTCCAACCCCCTCTGCTGTTTTTGATGATCTTTTAAATTTCATGTAGCACACAGCTGCAACCATAGTTTTGGGTCAGGGCCCGTTACTCCCCCG